TCAGACAGCCGACGCTACATCGTATGGCAGGCATGGTCAGCAAGCTTCCAGAAGGCGACGCCGTTGTTGCTCCTTTTGCCCTACTCCAGGAGCCTCATGACGTGACATCGATTCGAAATGAAGCTGCTACCGCTTGTCAAGTCGAAGCTGCCAATATCGAAGATGTGTTCCCTTGCACACCTCTGCAAGAAGGTCTCCTTGCACTGACGGCAAAGCATTCAGGAGATTACGTCGCTCGATATGCATTTCGATTGCTGCCTGCCACCGACGTTCAGCGTCTACGGAGCGCATGGATTCGAGTGGTGGCAGCCAATCCGATACTTCGCACACGCATCATTGATATCCCGACACGAGGACTGGTCCAAGTGGTTATGAAACATTCAACAATGCAGGCCTGTCAAGCTACAGACATGATCCTTGCTGAGTATCTCGACTTAGATCGCTCGGCACTGACTGGTCTGGGATTGCCACTCGTACGATCTGCTGTCTTGCAGGAGTCTCATGCAGATGCAGAGCTGTCAAGGAGCTTCTTTGTCTGGACAGTCCACCATGCAGTGTACGATGGCTGGTCGAAGACCATTCTCCTCGAACAACTTGCCAAGGCCTATCATTCCGCACAGGACCCGAGCAAGGGATTGCCTACTACAGTCCTACCTCAATTCCAGGCTTTTGTGAAGCATATCAAAGCTGTACCGGAGGATGAACTGATCAGCTTCTGGTTCACTCAATTTGAAGATCTTGAGGCAGAACCCTTTCCTCTGTTGCCTTCGCCAGATTATCAGCCGAGGTCTAATGAGGCAAGGACGCACGCTATTGACGGATTACAGTGGCCAAGCCACGCCGGTGTGACACCGACGGTCGTTCTTCGTGCTGCTTGGAGCATTCTGAGCTCAAAATACACCAACGCCAAGGACACTTTATTTGGCGTCACTGTTAGTGGTAGACAGACAGCCTTTCGCGGCGTAGAACAGCTCACTGGACCGACCATCGCTACAGTACCTTTACGAGTCATCCTGGATCCAGCCATGAGTGTGCAAGACATGCTTCTCCAAATTCAGCAGCAGGCTGTTAGAATGACAGAGTACGAACAAGCTGGGCTTCAGACAATCCGCCGTGTCAGCCCACAGGCTGCAAGAGCATGCGGCTTCAACTCTCTACTTGTGATCCAACCTCGCATAGACAGAGAGGAGCAGGATGTCCTGGACAGTCTTTTCGTGACTGACAGCAAGTATCACGCAGGATCTGACGATGCGATGGCAGAGTTCCGCACATACGCGCTATCTTTAGAGTGCCAACTGCACGATGACAATGTAGGGATATCCGTCCGATTCGACTCTGTCGTGCTAGGTGGTGAGCAAGTGGTCCTGCTCATGCAACAGCTAGGGCATATCGTGCGTCAGCTGTGTGATGCTCGTCTTGCCCAAACAAAGCTCGCAGACCTTGACTTTGTATCGCAACAGGACCTTGAACAGATCTGGCGCTGGAACTTGAGTGTGCCACTTGATGTTGAAAGCACCGTCGTACACGGTTTGATCGCCAAAACAACGAAACATCAACCAGGAGCTCAGGCAATTTGCGCATGGGATGGCGAATGGACCTATCGTGAGTTCGACGAGCTGTCGACCTGTCTAGCGCACCAGATCATGGGCCAAGGAGTCAAGCCTGGAGTGATCGTGCCTCTATGCATCGAGAAGTCGAAATGGATGCCTGTAGCCATGGTTGCGGTCATGAAAGCTGGTGGTGCATCAATCGCTCTTGATTATGCGCAACCGGAGCAGAGGCTCCTCAGCATTATGCGGCAAGTAAGTCCAGTCATTATACTAACCTCAGCAGCCAACGAAAGCCTCGCCCATCGCTTGACTGCTGGCACGGTGGCTGTAGTCGACGAGCGGCTGACGGATAGATTGACTCTGAATACAGACCGAACACTACCGGTGGTACAGCCGTCTGATATGCTCTATCTTGTCTTCACATCTGGCAGCACTGGCGAGCCTAAGGGGGTTGTTGTCACCCATGCAAACATCACCAGCGCGATCCTTCACCAACGAGGATGCCTTGGGTTCAGCAGCAAGTCACGCCTCTTCGATTTCGCATCCTACATGTTCGACGTCGTGTGGTGCAACCTGGTCCAGGGACTTTCAGCTGGAGCTTGCATCTGTATTCCGAGCAACGACGACCGACGCAATGATATGGTAGGAGCAGCAATCAGGCTCTCGGTTAACACAGCTATCCTGACGCCGTCCATCACTCGTGGCCTTGACATGAAGGCGCTCGAAAACCTGATTCATGTGTTTTTCATTGGAGAGCCACTGTCCAAGAGTGTTTGTGATGGTCTGCCTCCGAACACCGTGGTCACAAACTTATACGGGCCTACTGAGTGTACCACATTCAGTACAGCTCAAGTGGTCGATAGAACTTCGTTGAAGCGCATCAGCATTGGTACAGGTCTCGGTCTAAACACATGGCTGGTGGACCCTTCCGATGACTCCAAGCTTGTGCCCAGAGGTTGTATTGGAGAGCTCCTGCTTGAAGGTCCTCTTGTCGCAGCTGGCTATCTTGGTAAAGCTGCAACCACTGCGACCGTCTTCGTCAACGACTTAGCCTGGCTTCTCGAAAATCCCACAAATGCTGGCGCCGAAGGTCGTCGCAACCGATTGTACAAGACTGGAGACCTCGCAAGGTACAACATCGATGGCGCCTTAGAATTTCTCGGGCGGAGGGACTCTCAGGTCAAGCTGAACGGCCAACGCGTCGAATTGGGCGACATTGAGCACCACATTAAGGCATGTCTGGAGCACAGTGAAGATATTGACGTTGTCGCGACAGTCGCAAAGCCGCAAGCAAGCAATAAGGAAGTGCTCGTTGCCTTTCTGGAAATCCACAAGCTGTCTTCTTTCGATGACATGGCGTTCGATGCAGCCTTCAAGAAGCTCACGAACGTTCTCAATAGCAGACTCAGTCCTCGTATTCCAGCTTACATGATTCCTTCAGCATACATCCCGCTGGACTGTATTCCGACTACGCCCAGTGGTAAGACCGATCGGCGCAAACTCCAGACTATAGCTCAAAGATTGAGCTTTCAAGAAGTGGCTGCGACAACTTCTGATTCATCGCTTTCAGAAAAGAGACAGCCTTCTACAGATGTCGAAATATGTCTGCAAAGCTTGTGGGCAGCTGTGCTGGGTCTGGAAGCCATGGATATTAGTGCGACTGACAGTTTTCTGTGCATTGGCGGCGACTCCATATCAGCCATGAGGCTTGTCGCTGCTGCTCGTAAACAGGCTCTTGCCTTGTCGGTTGCAGAGGTCTTTCAGCACTCAATCTTGAGCGACATGGCCCTTGCCGCTCAGATGCTTGAGAGCAATCATATACCAGAGCAGATTGCACCATTTACGCTAATTCTCAAGGCAGGTAGCACTGCTGATCATCTGAGACAGCAGATTGCCAGCCTGTTCGATGATGTGGAGGCTTCTCAAGTGGAAGATGCCTTTCCCTGTACACCATTGCAGGAAGGGTTGCTCGCACTTACAAGCAGGCGTTTCGGAGATTATGTCGCACAGTTCGTCTACATGCTTCAACCAACTGCGGATGTCCAGCAGTTCATGCAAGCTTGGGAGACTGTCGTTAAAGCGACACCCACCCTGCGCACTCGCATCATCGACGTACCTGGATATGGTCTTATACAGACTATCATCAGTCAGCCGGCCAAATGGACTCGCCGGAACGACACGATGACTCTTCACACCTATCAAAGAGCGGATCGCGAGCTCGCCACTGGTCTAGGCACCCCATTGACACGATATACAGTGTTGCGGACTCCCGAGGACGGCAGCCGGTACTTTGTGTGGACCATCCATCATGCTCTTTATGATGGCTGGTCGATCCCTCTGATTCTGGAACGACTCGAAGGCCCTGTGGCTCCTCTCCTCCCCTCGCCACCCTTTCAGAGCTTTGTTAAACACATCACTGAGATCGACAAGAGCGCTGCAGCAAAGTACTGGGAGCAGCAGTTCCAAGGCTTAGAAGCTCAGATCTTTCCGCAACTACCCTCAAACACTTACCAGCCACTTTCTACGGCATTCATCAAGCGACACCTCCATGTGCCGCACTGGCCGGACACAGGAATTACGCCGTCCAGTGTATTGCGAGCAGCATGGTCTCTCTTGGCGTCAAAGTATGCCGATGGCGCCGAAGTCATTTTTGGCGTCACCGTAGCTGGACGACAGGCTGCCGTGACCGATGTTGAGCGGATAATGGGACCAACCATAGCTACTGTTCCTGTGCGGATCACTCTTGACTGGTCGCAGATGACTGTCGAGCAGCTGTTGCGGCAGGTTCAGGCACAATCAGCAGGGATGATCGCATACGAGCAGATGGGCCTGCAGCACATTCGACGCATAAGTCCCGAGGCTGAAAGAGCATGCCAATTCCAGACCTTGCTCGTTGTACATGCTGCCGAGGAGGACGAACCCCGACAACAATGTACAAGCAGCCGCTGGTTCATCAGCAAGCGAGACGAAGATGGTTCGGACGATACGCATGTTACAGTGGCTGATACGCACGCTTTGACGCTTGAATGCGATCTTCAGAGACACGGATTGCGATTGCGAGCCGCACATGACACCAACGTGATCGATGCCGACCGAGTCCAGCGACTAGCAGTGCAGCTCGAGCATGTCATTCAGCAACTATGTGCATCAAGCAACGCCAGCAAATGTCTGTCAAGACTCAACATGCTGTGTGAGCAAGACACCCATGATATATGGAGCCGGAATGCGGTCTTGCCAGAAGCTGACGACTCCTGCTTGCATGACCTTGTCACCGAGACAGCTCGCAAGCAGCCTCAGGCCGTGGCCATCAACGCATGGGATGGTGATTACACATACCAACAGTTCGACGAATTGTCTTCCCTTCTTGCCAGGCATCTGATTAGTCGACGGGTGGATCGGAATGCAATCGTGCCATTGTACTTCAGGAAGTCCAAATGGGCTCCTGTTGCGATGTTGGGTGTGATGAAGGCAGGTGGTGCATCGGTCATGATGGACTCGCGCCAGCCACCAGAACGCATGAAGTCCGTTCTCGATCAGATCAAGCCTGTCGTGTTCATCACGTCAGCAGGCGATGAAAAGCTTGTGAGCAGCCTCAGCGACACACCAACCATCGTGCTCAATGACAAACTGATGAGAGAGATCGCCAGCTCCGTTGTTACTGAGGCGATCTTGCCACGAGTCCAGCCATCAGATAGGCTGTATCTGATCTTCACTTCTGGCAGTACTGGTGCACCAAAAGGCGCTCAGATCAGCCATTCGAATGTGTGCAGCGCCTTGCGCTACCAGAGACAAGCTCATGGCTACACCTCCGATGCGCGAGTATACGACTTTGGTTCTTACGCTTTCGATTCTGTTTGGGTCAACTTCATGAGCGCATTCACCATTGGCGGCTGTCTTTGCATTCCTTCGGAACGAGAACGTAGCGACGATCTGGCTGCTTCCATCAAGCGATTCAACCCAACCATCCTCGATATCACGCCGTCTGCCGCCACAGTTTTAGACGACAGCACTATCGCATCCCTGCGCACTTTGATTCTGGGAGGGGAGAGACTGACTTCTGAGTATGCTAAACGATGGTCTCGGCTCGTTGATGTCAAACTTCCGTATGGGCCATGCGAATGCACGCCTACCGCTACTATTGCTACCATCGATCCCAATCACGAGGGCGAACCAAATATTGGTCACGGAGCTGGTTGCTTGACCTGGATCACAGATACTGAAGAGGGCAAAACTCTCGTCCCAATCGGCACGATAGGGGAGTTGGTGCTGGAAGGACCTCTCGTTGGGCTCGGATACCTTGGTAACGAAGCAAAGACAGCAGCAGCCTTTATCAAGCGACCACCCTGGCTTAGTACTGTTGGGCAAGATCGTAGGGGTCCTTTCTATAGGACTGGTGATCTTGTGAGATATAATCTGGACGGCACTCTCATGTTCATTGGCCGAAAGGACGCCCAAATCAAGATTCATGGTCAACGAGTCGAGCTTGCAGAGATTGAGGGCTTCATGGCTCGTCATGTACGCACACGCCAGTCAGCAGCTCTGTATCCTCAGACCCGTCCCTTTGCGAAGAAGTTGGTGGGAGTGTTCGACATCCATAGTCGCCAAACAAGCAAAACTACAGCTATTATCGAGTTGATCGATGCAGAGGCTGATCCCAGTGTTGTACAGCACATTCAGGACCTCGAAGCTCTGTTGAGAGAGTATTTGCCGCCATATATGGTCCCTTCTATCTGGGTACCACTCAAGGATCTGCCTCTCAACGCTTCAGGAAAGCTCAATCGACATCTCTTAGAAGACTGGCTGTGCCATTTAGACTCGCAGACTGTTGCCAAGATCGACACCATGAGTCACCCGTCCACGACTGCCGAGCCTCAGACACGTAGACAGCATATCCTACGCAACGCCTGTGGTGACATCCTGAACTTATCGCCAGCCGAGATTGATATACAGCGCTCGTTTGTCGCAAATGGCGGTGATTCGATATCAGCAATGCGTCTGTCGCCTTACTGTCGTACTTTAGGCCTGACACTCTCAGTCTCTAGCCTGCTGAAGGGCAAGTCCCTAAGTATTGTGGCAGACTCCGCCTCAATGGATGCCGCAACACCTGTCTTGACCCATGTCGAGGTCCTTGACAAGGCTTTCAGTCTATCACCAATTCAGAGGTGGTTCTTTGATCAAGCGCCACGGGAGGAACATCTCAATGAAAGACACTACTACAACCAAGGCTTCTATGTCAAGATGAGTCGCTTCGTGCCTCCTGAGAGATTGTCTGTCGCTATACGCAAGATTGTTCAACACCATTCCATGCTTCGTGTGCGGTTCACGACGTCCAAGAGCGGCTGGACGCAAAGCGCTCCTAGGGTAGAAAACGCTGTCTATAACTTCAGCTCTGCGGATGCTCAGAGCTTATCTGAGATCAAGTCAAATGCTATCGAGCTCCACCGAAGCCTGAACTTTGAGCAGGGCCTAGTCTTTGCCACAGCACTCTATCACCTGACCACTGAAAACGTTCAGTATCTCATCCTGGTTGCCCATCATTTGGTGGTTGATCTGGTCTCATGGCGGATCATACTGGACGACCTGGAAGCCTTGTTGTCAGACAAGGAGCTCATGCACAGCACTCCATTCCAGGTTTGGACGCAACTGCAAGCCGAAGAAGCACGGTCGCCAAGATTTTCACCCGAGAAAGTCCTCTCGACTACTAACGTACATGATAATCTGGATTTCTGGAACTTCAACGAGCAGACTTCTAATACTACTCACGACCACATTGTGAAGACTTTCGAGGCGGATCTTGCCACGACATCATTGCTACTCAAGGATTCTAACACTGCATTCAATTCTGAACCTGTTGATATCATCCTAGCTGCAGTATGGGATGCTTTTTTCCACTCATTTCCTGAACGGACAGGACTCACCATCTTCAACGAGGGTCACGGCCGTGAACCACTAACGGACACAGCTATCGATCTATCTCGGACTGTTGGCTGGTTCACAACGCTCAGTCCTCTACACGTGGATCGAAGCGTAGACGATAGCGTTGTGCACACAGTGAGACTAGTCAAAGATGCTCGAAGACATCTGCCGACCAATGGACTGGCATACTGGGTCTCAAGGTTCTTGAACCCGGATGGCATCAAAGCCTTTGAGTCGCACAGCTCTCCCATGGAGGTCCAATTCAACTATCACGGCCAGTTTCAACAGCTTGAGCGAACAGACTCACTCTTCACTGCCATAAATCTTGATGACGCTGTGCCTGCAACAAGTCCGCACATGCCAACCTCTGTCCTATTTGACATCAATGTCATCATTGAGGCTGGAGTGGCCAAGTTTTGTTTTGCTTGGAATCGACACATCGACCACCAAGATTCGATTCTGGCCTGGATCGCACAGATCGTACCATCATTGCAATCACTTTGCAACGAACTGCGCGGCAGACCGACATCGCGCACTTTGTGTGATTTCAAGTTTCTAAGCCTTAATTACAGTGGACTCGACGAATTGCAGAACAAAATTCTACCGCACCTTGAGCTACTCAACGATTCTCACATCGAGGACGTTCTACCATGCCTTCCGATGGTCGATGGCATCCTACTAAGTCAAACAAAAGGCACAGGGTCATACGAGACTTCTCAGACCTGGCAGATCGTGCCACGCGAATCACATCGCATCGAGATCAGTAGGCTCGTCGATGCCTGGCAAGCATTGATCGCACGTCATTCGGCATTGCGAACCGTTTTCATTGAAAGCATGGATGCCACTCGTAGTGCCTTCAATTCCGCTGTTCTATGTTCGCACCGTGGCAACGTCCTCCTTGTCGAAAGTGAGAGCTATAAAGGAGCGCTCGACACAGTGAAGCGTCTGCCGAGGGTCGACTATACTCAACCTCGACCTCCACATCGACTCACACTTTGCAGTATCTCTGGTCAGCCATACATCCTGTGCCAGATTGAGATCAGTCACGCCATATGCGATGGCGCCTCGACTGCTATCACTATGAAGGACTGGGTGCAAGCATATTCAGGAGAGCTCGATGTCCGGGAACTTCAAGATGTTACTCAGAATTTCACATTGGCTTTGGCAGCCCATTCAAGGATCGAGAGGACGGCGTACTGGAAGGATAAGCTGTCGAATATGGAACCTTGCACATTCCCTCATCTTAGGGGCCATACACCAGCTATAAGTTCTCAGCCAAATGGTGTCATATCTCTTGAGATTGGAGCGGAGACCCTCAAGCTTGTTGAGCGATTCTGCAAATTGCAGGCCGTCACGCTCGCCAGTTTCTTTCAAAGCGCATGGACTTTAGTGCTATCAGCTTATGTCGCATCTAACAGAGTCTGTTTCGGATATCTGGCCTCTGGACGTCAACTGCCTGTCAAAGGCATCGATCAGTCCATCGGTGCCTATGCAAATGTGATGATCTGTCGTGCTGATCTTGGCCGACAGCATGATGAGAGGGGCTTCGTGCACTATATCTATGAGCAAGTGTTGGAAGACATGGCCTTTCAGCACTGCTCCGTCGCCGAGATCCAGCACGAGCTTGGTCTGTCATCACTATTCAATACCATCATGTCTTTCCAGAAGGAAGAAGATTGCGTGGACGAGCAAGATCCAGAGCATCAGGAGCTGCATTTCATCGAAGTTGATTGGCGTGATCCAACCGAATACGACATCACTATCAACATTAATCAGTCAAAGATGGCTGTCCGCGTGACTGCAGAATATCGTCTAGCCTGCATGGACTCCGAGCAAGCACGTCGAGTTATCTCACTCTTGGAGTCGACTATCATCTCGCTGGTCACTGAAACTGTTGGACCTTCGACAGCCACACACAGGACACTACAGGAACTTACTGCAACACAATCTGCGAGTGTGGACGATCTGCGAGATGTCTGGAATTGGAACAAGATAGTCCCGGAAACTGTCGACAAGTTGGTACATCATGCCATTGCTGATGTAGCCAGACGAATCCCGAGCTCGCCTGCCATATGCGCATGGGATGGCGATCTCACTTATAGCGAGCTTGAAGCTGCTGCCAACAAGCTTGCTCAGCATCTGGTCAGCCTTGGTGTGGGACCCAAGGTCATTGTCCCCCTTTATTTCGAGAAGTCGAAATGGATGCCAGTATCAATGTTTGCGGTCATGAAGGCAGGCGCAGCGTCATTAGCAATAGACTGCACTCTTCCTAGAGAGCGTCTGCGCAGTATCGTACAACAGGTGCACCCACTTGTGGTACTGGCATCTGTTGCGCAGACTGAACTGGCCAAGCAGCTCACGGACAGGCCAATGGTAGTCATAAGCGATGTGCATCTGAACCAGCTAGCAGAGCTGGTAGTCGAGATGCCAGAGGTGAAACCTTCGGATCAGCTGTATATCGTGTTCACATCTGGCAGTACTGGAGTGCCTAAAGGTGTCATTACCACGCACTCTAACTTCAGCAGTGCTATTCAGCACCAGCAGGCATCTATGGGGTTCAAGAGCACTTCGCGGGTGTACGACTTCGCCAAGTATGTCTTTGATGTCACATGGTCGAACTTCTTACACACTATGACCAGTGGCGGATGCCTGTGCATCCCATCTGAAACAGAAGCGATCGACAATCTGGCCGACTCCTTCTTGAAGTACAGGGCAAATTTTGTCGATCTGACACCTTCCGTCATAAGCACTATACGACCGGCTGATCTCCCTGCCTTAAACCACTTATTGTTCAGCGGTGAGGCCCTACCTACCCATATCGGCGCTCAGTGGGCCGAACGAGCGATTGTTCTCAATACATATGGTCCTGCTGAGTGCAGTGTCAAAGCAACCTTCGCGAGAATCGGCGAGACTGAAGCACAAGTTGCCAACATCGGCCGCGGATTCGGACTGTGCACTTGGATCGTGCAGCCTATCAACCACGACAAGCTTGTACCAATAGGTGTTGTTGGAGAGCTTCTGCTAGAAGGACCGCTCATCGGCGCCGGTTACCTTGGAGATGCGTCGAGAACGCAGACAGCTTTCATCGAAAATCCTCTATGGCTTGTCCGCGGATTGCCGCACGACGCCTCGTCAGGCGCTCCAAGTCACCCTGGTCGTTGTGGTCGATTGTATAAGACTGGAGACCTCGTGAGATATGAGCCAGATGGGACCATGACCTTCGTTGGCCGCAATAATGCTCAAGTCAAGATCAATGGACAAAGAGTAGAGCTCGGCGACGTCGAGTATCATGTTCGAAACAACATAGCCATTGCTGATGTGCAAGTCCATGTGTTCGCTGAGATACTCACACCGTCCCAAAGCGATACATCGATCCTCATGGTTTTCATTCATGTGGTCAATGAGCGACACGCTGACGACAGTGCACTCGACGGCACTGGACAGAGCGCCAGGATCCTCACAGGTCTGAATGAGAGGCTAGCAGCGCACGTTCCGGCTCACATGACTCCATCTGCCTACCTGGTGCTGAAGGGGTTGCCTATGACGACTACTGGGAAAGCTGATCGTCGCCGGCTCCGCGAAATTGGTCAGAAGCTGACATTCGAGCAGATTATGGCGCTCAGTTCTGGCAGTGACGGAGGCCAACAACCCTGTACAGCTACAGAGCGGCAATTGCGAAGCCTCTGGGCTCAAGTGCTTGGTATCAAGACGTCAGGCACCATCAAAGCAGATCACAGCTTCTTCCAAATTGGAGGAAATTCAATCAGAGCCATGAAACTAGTGGGCCTGGCTCGTAAGGTAGGGCTTCATTTAACGGTCACAAGTATCTTCAAGCAGCCCGTACTCAAGGACATGGCAAGATCGACGGGTCAAGTCTCCGGTCTCGATGAGGACGACATCCCGCCATTCTCATTACTAAATACCAGAAAGGATCCTCGAAAGCTATTGGAACAAGCTGCAGAACTGTGTCGAGTTGACATTGCTCGAATAGAAGACATCTTTCCGTGCACTCCGCTGCAAGAAGGACTTCTAGCGCTCACAGCAAAAAGAGCTGGCGACTATACTGCTCAGTATATTCTGCCTCTGCGACGCTCAGTCGATCTTGCACGATTTCAACGGGCATGGGAGGAGGTGCTGAGAACGACACCAACTCTGCGCTCCCGGATCGTGGATCTTGCGGATCAAGGACTTGTGCAGGTCATTCTTGATCACAATGTTCAATGGTCTCATCACCTCAGTGTCAGCGAGTATCAGGAAGTCGACAAAAAGGCAGAAATTGGTTTGGGCAAGCCGCTTGTACGATATGCTAACATCTCCGAGAACAATCAGAGCCAAACACATTGCTTCGCATGGACAATTCATCACGCACTCTACGACGGATCGTCAATGAGGCTCATCATGGACAGGCTAAACCAGGCTTACCAGGATACTTTTGCTCTGCAGCCTGCTCCTCCATTCAACCGCTTCGTCAAACACATTCTCAACATCGAGGAGGGAGATGCCAACAGCTTCTGGCAAGCACAATTCGCTGGACTAGAAGCGCAGGTGTTTCCAACATTACCTTCAGCAACGCATCAGCCAAGGGCGGAGTCATATGTCATTCATCATATCGAAGACATCACCTGGCCTCGATCGAGCATCACTGCTGCTACAGCAATCCGCTCCTCGTGGTCGATACTCACAGCCCGCCTCACGAACTCGAGTGACGTGATCTTCGGTGTAACGATGAGTGGTCGCCAGGCAGCAGTTCATCAGATCAATGAGATAACAGGTCCCACACTCACAACTCTGCCTGTACGAACGGTCTTCGACTGGGAGCAGTCTGTTGAAGCATATCTGGATCAAGTCCAAAGAGAGATGACAGAAATGATCCCGTACGAACAAACAGGTTTGCAGAACATTTCACGAATCAGCAACGAATGCAGGCAGGCTTGCAACTTCCAATCATTACTACTGATCCACCCTTTCGAGGAGACTAAGGATCTAGCGAGCTTGCTATTCATTGCTCACAATGACGACGATGCAGAAGAGGTTGCCTCCGGAGACTTCACAACTTACGCCCTGACGCTAGAATGTGAATTGGAGGAGCACGGTCTGAAGCTCAAATTCGAATATGATGACGGAGTCATCGGCAGCGGCCGTGTTTCGAACTTGGCAGACCAGTTCGAGCACATTTTGCGCCAATTGTGCGACTCATCAAACAGCACGAAACGAATCGCCGAGATTGAGGCGGTCAGCAAGACGGAGCTCGATATCATCTGGACCTGGAACGCAAAGGTACCGACACCGACGACGATCGAGGCTCGAGTCCACGATCTCATAGCTGATGCATGTCTGAAACAACCTCATGCTACAGCGATCCACGCTTGGGACGGTATCTGGACGTATGCGGAAGTGCACGATATGTCGACTCGCCTGGCGCATCATCTGGTGAGTCATTGATGAATTGTTTATCTCAGAATGCCAGAGCATTGCGTCCAGACATTACAATCACTGATACTCTCATGCTTCTAGGTACATCTCGGAGTCGGCTGCGAGACAGTCGTTCCTCTTTGCTTCGAGAAGTCGAAGTGGGCGCCTATTGCGATGCTGGCTGTGATGAAAGCAGGTGGCACTTGTGTGACACTGGATCCCACCCTACCTCAAGATCGTCTGTTCAAAATCGTCCAGCAAATCAAGCCATCGATCATTCTGTCTTCATCGACCAACAGGAACCTTTCTGGTCGATTATGCGAGTGGAAGCCTGTCATCGTTGTCAACGACAAACTCCAAGCGCTGTTTGATAAGCAGACATTGAAACTTCTGCCAGAAGTGCAACCGTCTCAGACGCTTTATATTGTCTTCACTTCCGGGAGCACCGGCATCCCAAAAGGAGTAAGAATCAGTCATTTAAACTTCAGCACTGCCCTACGATACCAAAATGGCGCGCACAACTTCGGACCCGGCGCGCGCATCTATGATTTCGCATCATATGCATTCGATGTGTCCTGGTCGAATGTACTTGGCGCCTTGGAGTGTGGTGCTTGTTTATGTATCCCCGCGGATGCAGAGCGGCGTGATGACCTAGGTGAGCACTTGAGGGCATAGGGCAATGCTTAATTGCCGCAGTCATATCCTCAAATATGAGCTCTACTGATCATCTTCCCAAACACAGCCGGATCTCTTCGTCGCTTCCGCGTGACGCACGTTGAATTAACCCCTTCTACGGCCTCGGTTCTGCCACACGAAACTATACAATCTCTCGACACCCTCATCCTTGGTGGTGAACGCTTGTCTGAAGAGCACGCCAAGGAGTGGGCTTCGCTAGTCAAGCTCAAGAACTCGTATGGCCCTTGCGAATGCACACCAACTGCGACTGTGGCAGACATCTGTCCAGGCGGCAACATGACGACAATCGGGACAGGTCTCGGCGTCAACACATGGATTGTGGATGCGGCATCAGGTCAATCGCTTGTACCGATAGGCAGCATCGGCGAATTGGTTCTCGAAGGGCCTTTGGTAGGACCTGGGTATCTTGAACCCTCGACCAGCACCTTCTCTGCATTTATTGAGGACCCCGTCTGGCTGCTTCATGGTGCTTCAGGTCGCACTGGCCGAAAAGGTCGTCTATACAGAACGGGCGATCTAGTTGTTTATAATGAGGATGGATCGCTTACGTTCATTGGTCGAAAGGATGCGCAGGTGAAGATTCACGGCCAACGTGTTGAGCTTGGCGACATTGAGAACCATATTGCACAATTCCGTCAAGTACGACAATCGGCATGCATATTACCCAAGACTGGTCTTTGCGCTAATACATTGGTCGGTCTGATCAGTATGAAACATACCAGCGAGACCGATACTCTCCTCGCAAAGAATGGTTTCAAACTCAGTGCAAGTGCCTCAGCTTCATTAGCTCTAACTACTGGTGTCACGGTTGCAGACCCAGACTCATCAACGATAAAACCACATGCTGAGATAGGTCTCGAGCAGTTCACGACCACTGTCAGGGACTATGTCGAAGCGCTAAAGAGCTATCTTAATAATGTCTTGCCTTCTTACATGATCCCAACCATCTGGGTTGTGCTCAAGGACATTCCGCTCGATCCATCTGGGAAGACCAGTCGCAGGCAGCTGGATGACTGGCTCTCCAGAATGGACCAGCAGATATACAACCTTGTCGCCGATACTGATCGCATTTCTGTTCTGCGGCAGCCAGTTACCGAAGCAGAGAGACTCCTTCAATACGCATGCTCTGTCGTCCTCAATGTGTCTGCCTCCGACGTCAACCTTGCACGATCGTTCGTGGCTAATGGAGGTGATTCCATCTCAGCAATGCGGCTGAGTGCGCACTGCCCTGCGGACATTATTGTCACCGTCGCAAACTTGCTAAAAAGCAAATCATTGGTCGAGGTCGCACTGAAGTCTTCTGTGGCTGCGAGCTCGACAACCACAGTAAGCGAGGATTTCAACACACCATTTGCTCTGTCGCCAATGCAGCAATGGTTCTTCAACCAGCTTGGTCAACACCCAGTCGATGAGCCCGGTTACTATTGCAATCAATCATTTTACCTTCGCATGAACAAAGCAGTCTCTGTCGAGAGCATGCGTGCTGCTATTGCGAAGATTGTGGAAACGCATTCCATGCTCCGTGCACGATTCTATCAGGAACCTGATACCAAATGGATGCAGATCATTCCACAGCCCAGTGCCTCAAACCATCACTTCGAAACGTCGATGTTGGAGTCATATGCTGATCTTGCGCCTTTGGCAGCTTTGCGACAACAGCAGCTTCTTGTGAAGCGTGGCCTCGTGTTCTCTGCTGATCTTTGCAAAGTGGGCACTCAGGAGGAGCTCTACTTACTGCTCATTGCACACCATCTTGTTATTGATCTTGTTTCCTGGAGGATCATTCTTGCAGACCTGGAAGCAATACTGGCAGGAGCAACAATCTCATTGCAGAGCTTGCCATTTCAGATTTGGAATCGATTGCAGATCGAAGAAATGAGGGAGTCTACCTTTGCATCGGGATCTACATTATCGACTTCAGACATAGTGAATGATCTGTCTCACTGGGACTTCGTAGCCGGCAAGACACCAAATAAAGTTCAGGACTATGTGAACAGAACTGTCGTTATTGATCGGGACAATACAAGACAACTCTTGCGGGAAGCGAACAACGCCTTCAATACAGAGCCAGTCGATCTTTTCCTTGCCGCAATCTCACATGCTTTCTTTCAAATCTTTCCGAGGTATAGCTTCACTATTGTCAATGAGAGTCATGGTCGTGACACTTTAAAAGAAGACACTAACCTCTCTCGGACCGTCGGCTGGTTCACCACAATGTACCCGCTTAGCATTGCAAGAAACACCAACAGCAGTTTATCAGACATTGTGCGACGGGTCAAAGATGCCAGAAAGGGACTACTTGCCAGTGGGAGGGCATCATTTGCGTCAAAATATCTCCGCGACAACCGAGCTCGGGCGTTTAGCGCAAATGAAACCACGGCAGAGATGGTCTTCAATTATCACGGCCAATTTCAGCAGCTTGAGCGTAAGACTGCACTCTTCAAAAGCATTACACTGGAGGTCTCTGACGAAGGACCTGACCTGCCCGTGTCCGCATTGTTTGAGGTCAACATATCTATTGAGCAAGGCAAGACCAACATCTCGTTTTCATGGAATCGTCACTTGGCTCACCAGCAACTCATCCAAGAATGGCCAAATCAGATTGTGCGCTCTATTCGATCCATTTGCGAAGATCTGCCTACCTTGGATGTCAGGCAGCGAACATTGGTCGATTATGAATTTCTGGATCTAGACTACCCAGGCTTGGATCATCTCGAAACTCAGATCATCCCCAAGATCATCACTTTGAACTCTAGTGAGATCGAAGATATCTATCCCTGCCCGCCTATGGTAGATGGCATTCTCCTTAGCCAGCTGAAAGGGTCCGGAAGTTATGAAACCACACAGCGTTATCATATCAGGCCTCGAAGCCCCCATGTGATCGATATTGAGCGATTGTCTGTAGCTTGGCTAGCTGTAGTAGACCGGCATCCATCTCTTCGCAGTGTCTTCATTGAAAGCGCAAACAACACCACAGCTTTCAATCAAGTGTTGCTCAACAGCTGTCGCCCAGAGATCAAACTGCATTACAGTGAGAGCTTGAGAGCCGCTTACAGATTTCTGCAGACTCTTCCAAGGCCCCATTATCAGCAGCTCAAGCCTCCCCACCGTTTGGTTCTTTGCCCGATATCAGATACAGACACTGTCTTGATTCAGATCGATATGAGCCATGCTATTACTGATGGCGAATCCACAACGATCCTTCTCCGAGATTGGCAAATGGGTTATGCAGGACTTCTAACTCGAGCAGACCTGCTGGAAACGACCCGAGGTTTCGCTAGAGCACTGCAACCCGATATAAACAAGAAAAGGCTGTATTGGACGCAAAAGCTGACGAGGGTACAACCATGTTACTTCCCTGCACTGTATGAACTGTCACAACCCGTGAGAAGCATGTCCTGTTCCACTCTTCACATCGATGGCACCGATCTTGCGTGCATCCGGCGATCCTGCGAGACGAATTCTATCACGATCGCCAATCTGTTTCTTGCAGCTTGGGCATTGACATTGTCGGCATATACAGACGACACTTCTGTCTGCTTCGGATATCTTGCTTCAGGAAGAGACCTACCAATTCCAAATATCATGGAGGCCATTGGAGCATTCGCAAACATGCTGACGTGCCGCGCAGACATATCTCGTGATTGGAGCAACGGTCGATTTGTCCAGTATCTCCACAATCAGGTGTTGGAAGACATGGAGCATCAGCACTGCCATCTGGCTAGCATTCAACATGAACTGAAGATTGCTCCAGGGCAGCAGCTGTACAACACAATCGTTTCCATACAACAAGACAATGATGGCTCTTTGGACCAGCCTGCCGATGAAGAGCTTGAGTTCGTTGATGCGGATGGAGAAGATCCAACAGAGGTAAGTCGACCCTATGTCTAGTGACATCCGTTGACACAGAAGCAGTATGATGTGGCGATCAGTATCACTCTCGGCATCAAGCAGATAGATTTGGCTATCAATTGCGCACCATCACACTGCAACGATGATCAGTCACGCCGCATCATGTCGCTACTAAGGAATACAGTCATCAGTCTTGCCAAGTCATGTCAAACTTTAGATAAGGACACGCTAGGCGACAGCATCATGACAATCAGCGACGAAGACTTGCGTGACATCTGGCAATGGAACTCGAATAGCTCCGGAGACGAAGATGCAAGCAGCCGACACTTCGATACACCCATGTCTGCGAGTCAAGACCGATCAGTCACAACCAAGGTTATTAACGCCGGGTCAGGACAACTTGCGTCAGAGTTCGCTCATTCTATTACCGGCACTGCTGCCAAGACCTGGATCACTGGCATGGAAGACAGCAGTAGACTGGTGCCAATAGGGTGCACTGGTGAGCTCGTGCTGGAGTGTTCCACAGCGGGAATGGACCGCGTATACAGCGCCAAAAACATAACAACTTCCTTCGTGGACAATCCACCATGGCTCCTTAATGGTGGTGGTCCAGGGTTTCACGGACGTTATGGGCGCATGTATCAGACTGGCGTTCTCGCACAGTACAATTCAGACGGCAGCTTGGTCCTTGTCAGTCGCAAGGCAGGCCAGAAGAAGCTACAAGGCCAGCCAGTAGATCTTGACAAGCTCGAAAGCCGCATGCGCGAAGTGCCTCTAGTTCGTCAAGCTGTCTGTCTGATCCCAACCGCTGGACCTTATTTTGGCAAACTTGTCGGCTTTTTTAGTCTTCAAATATCACCTAAGCGCGATCATCGCAGCAGCAAGCACAAACCACGACTCGTCTCCGATGACCAAGCAGCTCAAGTCCGTGACAGTATTCAAGCCCTGGAGGCGTCGATGGACAACTCTTTCCCGGCGTATATGGTGCCATCTGTCTGGATAGCCCTGGAAGAAATTCATGTCAATACTGACAATCGCTTGTCTCGCAAAGTGCTGGAGGACTGGATAGGTCATGTTGATGACGAAACATGCGCTGGTATTGCTAGTGCCGGATCAGTATGTCGCAGACCCATCACAGCAGCAGAGAAAGTGATCTGCCACGCCTGCAGCCTGTTCCTTGACAGCCCTGAGAGCAACATCAATATCAACCGTTCCTTCATTGCAAATGGCGGCGATTCCATGTCGGCCATGCGAGTCAGTCCCCACTGCCGTGCTGCAGGCTTCGCCATCTCGGTGGCATCGCTGCTCAAGATCGAGACACTGATTGGTGTTGCCGCATCTGCGACTGTTGCCGAGCATTTCAAAGTGCAGATCGAAGAGTTCGAGAAGCCATTTTGCCTCTCGCCTGTGCAGCAATGGTTCTTTAATCAGTCACCACCTGACAAGGTAAGTACCAGAAGCCACTATTATAACCAGGCTTCCTATCTTCAGCTCAAACGCCGAGTGTCGTCTCAACAAGTCGCAACCGCTGTCCAGCAGCTTGTGCATTTGCATTCCATGTTGAGAGCACGATTCCAGCTTGATAAGGTCACAGAATCCTGGTTGCAGCTCATCTGCAAGCCTGAAGATGGCATCTACCACTTTACTTCTCTGCAGGTCGACACTGTTGCAGACGTCGAGAACAACCTTGCTGAGCGACACCAAGAGCTGAACATTGCACAAGGCAAAGTCTTCGCCGTGGATCTGTTCACTTTGAGATCTGGAGACCAGTTCTTGACACTTATCGCGCACCATCTGGTGGTCGACCTGATATCTTGGCACATTATCCTCGGTGATCTAGAGGTGCTGCTCAATGGTGGAACCTTGCAAGAGGCGGTACCATTCCAGGTGTGGAGCAATCTGCAGATCATGAACGCTGAAGCGTCCAAGCACAAGCCGGTGCAGCTACTTTCTACAGACAATCACAACAATCTCAACTGTTGGGGCTATGACTTATCCATATCGAACACATTTGCTGATCATGTGGAGGAGATGCTTACCATCGACCACAAGACGACCGCGCTTCTCCTTGGAAAGGCTAATGAGGCTTACAATACTGAGCCAGTCGATCTTACCCTCGCTTCATTATGGATTGCATTTCTTGAGGTTTTCAAAGATCGCGACGGGCTTACGATCTTCATTGAGGGCCACGGACGGGAATTTTGGAGTTCAGATATCGACATCTCTCGAACAGTAGGATGGTTCACGACCATGACACCGCTCCACATTTCGCGCTGCCGCAACAACGATATTGTGAGAGCCATCAAGGACTCCAGAAGAATGCTTCGCTCAAACGGCAGAGAGTATTTCGCTTCGCGTTACCACAATCAAGACGGAAAGAGAGCTTTTCAATCCCACGAAGGTACCATGGAAGTGCTCTTCAACTATCACGGTCACTCCCAGCTGCAAGGTGACGATTCGATGTTCAAGAAGATTGCATTCAATAATGTTTCTGATGTCGGCCTTGCTTTGCCCACCTCAGCACTCTTCAGCATCAACATGTCAGTCGAAAAAGGTCTCACTGACCTGTCCTTCTCGTGGAATCGATGGATCAACCACCAGGATATGATTCGACAATGGCTCCAGGAAATCCCTCGTTCGGCATGGCTTTTGTGTAGCTCATTGCTGGCCTCGCAACGCTCACTGACGATTGCGGACTATGAGTTTCTGCATCTCGACTACAAAGCTCTCGACCAGCTTCAAGATCAGATCCTTCCTATCATACGATCCAACACTGGAGCGGCAGTTGTTGATGTCTTTCCCTGTTGGCCCATGGTGGACGGAATGCTGCTCAGTCAGGGAAAGGATTCTTCGGCTTACAAAACGTCACTTACATATGAGGTGACACAGAGGAATCAGCTTCTGGACATCGACCTTCTCAAGGAAGCATGGCAAGCCGTCATCGCACGTCATCCGGCTCTTCGCAGTGTGTTCGTCGAGGGCATCGACAAGAGGACGGCCTTCGTTCAGATAGTGCTGGGATACTTCGAGGGAGAAGTCATTGTCACCACAGCTCCAACCAGAGACGCAGCCTTGATCTCGATCGATCGACTACCCGACATCGATTATCAAAGACGGCTAGTACCACCACATCGCCTTGTACTTTACAAGGTTGAGCAAGACAGTACCATCATCTGTCACATCGAGATGAGCCACGCCATTACTGATGGTATATCAACTGCGATCTTGCTGGACGACTGGTCGAAGGCTTATGATCAACAACTTGACTGCAGGGATCTCATCGAGACAACCCGTAGCTTCGCTCGTCAACTCAATGCTAGCTCCGAGGTCGACAAGCTCAGCTACTGGAAACATAAGCTCACCAATTTAGACCCATGCGTCTTCCCCAGGATCTCTCAAGATCCGACACCTGGCGATCGAGCAATATCAGCTGTGCTCAGAATTGATGGAGAGAAGTTCAGACAAGTGCTAGACTTCTGCGAATCTCAGTCAGTGACTCCAGCAAGCTTATTCAGCAGTGTCTGGGCGTTGACTCTGGCGGCTTATACCAGCAACGATCAGGTATGCTTCGGGTACACTGCCTCTGGTCGCGACTCGCACATCCCGGATATCGACCGTTCTGTTGGCGCCTATGCCAACCTCCTGATCTGCCAGGCTGACACTTCTTCCCACGCCTTGACCAACAGTCAACGCTTTGTCCGATACCTACATGCCCAAGTCATGAGAGATCTTGAATATCAACATTGTTCGCTGGCAGATATAGAGCATGAGCTCGGCCTGTCTCACGGTCAAGCACTCTTCAACACTATAGTGTCTTTCCAGAATGATGATGTCGTAACCAGAGCAGATGTCGATACTCAAGACCTATTGTTTCACGATATCGCTTACAAAGACCCAACTGAAGTAAGTAATAACGCAGACAGCGGAGACCTTCACATTGTCGCTAATTGCCTTGCACAGTACGATATATCCCTCGGCATCGCATATGGGAAGACTCAGGTTGAGCTGTCCCTCGACTCCCATTCATCATGTCTGTCCACAACTCAGGCCGAGCGTACCCTGTCACTAGTAGAATCCGTTCTCATGTCACTTGTAGATATCAACACTGAAGCAGACACTGTTCTTTTGTCAACCATTGACACGATCAGCGCACAGGACCTCGAGGAGATCTGGACTTGGAATCATGCTGCGCCTGATCCGGTAAATGCTCTGGTGCACGACTTGATCTCCAAGACCGTGCACATGCTGCCTAGCAGCCCTGCTGTCTGCGCCTGGGACGGCGATTGGACATATCAAGAATTGGGGAGTCTTTCTTCCCAGCTAGCACATCGGCTGATCAGCATGGGCGTCGGGCCTGAGAAGATCGTCGGTCTTTGCTTTGAGAAGTGTCGCTGGACCCCAATAGCAGTCCTCGCGGTAATGAAGGCTGGAGGCGTCAGCTTGATCCTGGACCTTGAACTTACAGAGGACCGTCCGCGAGTCATTCTGGAGCAAGCCAAACCGACAGTCATGCTGTCTTCGACAGCTGGTAAGGACACAGCCATCGCCCTGGCTAATGATGCGGACTGCCCAATGCTAGTGGTGGATAAACTCAATCTGGTCCATTCAGGAATACCGATCCTGGCTGGTTTCCCCGCTGCCCTTTCTGATGTGAAGCCCAGCAATACTCTCTACATCGTCTTCACCTCAGGCAGTACTGGTGTACCCAAAGGGGTGTCCATCACACACTCTAACTTCAGCAGCTCTATCCACTATCTCCGCAGAGAGCACACCATCGAATCTGGATCCCGAGTCTACGATTTCGCGGCATACTCATTCGACATGTCCTGGTCCACAATGCTCTGGACACTCGAATGTGGTGCTTGCCTTTGCATTCCGTCACCGGCTGACCGTCGTGACAACCTAGCAGAGTCTATCGATCAATTCGGCATCACTCAATTGTTATTGACTCCGACAGTCGCTCAGCTGCTTCCGCTTGCAACGTTGCGAGGCATAGAATGCTTGGTCCTGGGAGGTGAAGCCTTGACGCCTGAGTTGAGCAAAGTCTTTGCGAGTACAGTCAAGACTATGAACCACTACGGACCTTGCGAGTGTACGCCTGTAACGGTAACAACAAACATCAGCTCAGAGGACTCTCAGGTTTCCATTGGTCGCGGTGTGGGTGTCGTCACTTGGGTGGTTGACACTACAAGAAACTCTCTTGTCCCTCTTGGATGCGTTGGCGAACTTCTCCTCGAAGGCCCGCTAGTTGGCCCCGGTTATCTCAACCTAGAGTTGACAGCAGCATCATTCGTCCATGATCCTCCATGGATGCTCCGTGGCTTCAATTCCTACGCGGGGCGACGAGGACGCTTGTACAAAACAGGTGATCTTGTGCGCTATAATCACGACGGCACTCTATCATGCCTGGGACGGAAAGATAATCAAATCAAGATCAATGGGCAGCGTATAGAGCTGGGTTCGATCGAATACTGTATTCGCTCCTGCATAGAGCACGAGGCTGTTGTCCATGTGGTCGTCGAGCTTGTCAAACCTCGAGACAGCACGAAGAAAGTGCTCGTGGCTTTCTTAAGCACAGAAGGAGGCTCTTCTGCAGCACTGCGACAAGTCACTGCTGGTTTGTTCGCCAAGCTTGCTTATCAGCTGCCGGCATTCATGGTTCCCTCCGCATTCATATGGACAGAGAGCTTCCCCGTGATGGTGTCCGGTAAGATCGACAGAGGGAAACTACGAGGCATGTACGAGCATCTTTCAAGACAAGAGATAAACGCCCAAGGTGTTGCACGAGCAACAGAGAATGCAGGCCCAATGACAGACATGGAGAGGGAGCTCGCAGCTCTCTGGTCAACTGTACTCGAGGTCCCCTCCGACACCATCAGGACTGACGACAGTTTCATTCGTCTTGGCGGAGACTCTGTCGGCGCCATGAAGCTTTCTGCCATGGCTCGAGATGACAGCTTCAAACTGCCAGTGACTGACATTCTTCGCTATCCGAACCTGGCCGACCAGTCCAAAAGAATGAAGACCATCCACAGCACGCAAGACACAGCCGTCCCGGCTTTCTCGCTGCTGCCTGCAAACGCCAGCTCAACAGCAGCTCGTGAGCAGATAGCAGAGCTCTGTGGTATTGCTACAAGCATGATCGAAGACGCCTTTCCATGTACGCCTTTGCAGGAAGGTCTCCTAGCTCTTACCTTACAACGACCTGGGAGTTACGTGGCGCAATGGGCTTATGAGCTGCAACCTGACATTGACCTTGACCGCTTTCGACGGGCCTGGGACGATACCATTGCGGCAACACCCATACTACGCACTCGAATAGTCGATCTTCCCGGATCAGGCATGATACAGGTTATCATCGCAGCCCAGTCTGCTGTCTGGACTCAAACTTCGCAGAAAATCGGCAAAATCGAGGAGGCCGAGATACTGGCAATAGGTCTTGGCACCTCTCTCATGAGCTCGGAGATACGAACGAGTCTCGAGGGCTATTCTGTCTTTGTTTGGACCGTACACCACGCATTGTACGACGGCTGGTCTATTCCACAATTGATGCGGATGCTAGAGACTGCTTATGCAGGAGTCCCGAAGCTCGAGTCGCCACCACCTTTCCAGAACTTTGTGAAATTCATACAGGACACTAACAAGGACGCTGTGAGCAAGTTCTGGACTTCACAATTCGAGCAACTTGAAGCTCAGATATTTCCTTCGATGTCTTCATCAACTCAACCAAGCCCTGATTTTGGTGTTGCGTACCAGATTCGAGATTTGTCCTGGCCGAGAACGGACACGACCGCAGCGACTACGGTTCGAGCTGCTCTTGCAATATTGATTGCGACATACACTGACTCCTCTGAGGCCATCTTCGGAGTCACGGTCAACGGCAGACATGTTCCGGTCCATGGCATCGAGAACATGATAGCTCCCACGATTGCCACCGTACCTCTCCGTGTGAAGACCTCAAGAGAAAGCAGCATATCCCAGCTACTCCATCAACTGCAAGCTCAGATGCTTGACATGACTCCTTTCGAGCACACTGGTCTGCAAGAGATCCGAAAGATAAGCCCAGCCGCTCGACTTGCTTGTGACTTCCAAACGCTTCTGCTCGTCCATTCGGCTCAAGCTGTGAACGAACAGCCGCATACTCTCTTCATCGATGCAGAGGACGAGATCGATAGTGACACAGGCAGAGTCGACGAACTAGTGACCGACTTCGACGCCTATGCCATCACGATCGAGTGTGACCTTGAGGCTACTGGCGCACTGCTTCGAATGAAGTTTGATTCGCAAGTCATCTCAAGAGATCAGGTGGGGACATTTGCAGCGCAATTTGAATCGATCCTACGACAGCTATGTAGCTCTCAGGTTTCAGAGCTCACGATAGCTGATCTTCGGACTGCCGGACACAGAGATCTGGATCAAATCTGGAAATGGAACGCCAGCATCCCGGCCACCATTGATCTCACTGTACATGGCATAATCGCACAGAATGTGGCACAATACCCACACTCTCCAGCGATCTGCGCGTGGGATGGGCACTGGACATATCAAGAACTCGACAGCATTGCCACGCAGATCGCCCTTGGACTTGTCAGTGATGGCTTCGGCCCAAATTCTGCTGTAATCCCTATATGCTTCGAGAAGAGTCGCTGGACTCCTGTGGCTATGCTCGCAGTCATGAAAGCTGGCTGTGCCTCAGTCATCTTAGACACCACATTACCTCTCAGCCGACTTGAAGCTATTGTGCGGGAGGTCGATCCGCCAGTGATCTTGTCATCCCTCGCCAATCTAGAGCTTGCAAAAGGCTTAATAGATCAACAAGTCATTGTGCTCTGCGAAGAGACGCTGAAATCGTTCGACGCGCCAAGCACTCAGGTACTGCCAACTGTCGATGCATCAGCCAATCTATATCTTGTGTTCACCTCAGGCAGCACCGGTACCCCAAAGGCAGCAGTGATCACTCACTCCAACTTCAGCAGCGCAATCTACCACCAACAGGCTGCCACTGGCTTCAGCAGATCAAGTCGTGTCTGCGACCTTGCCAAGTACGCGTTCGACATCTCATGGTCCAACTTCGTTCACACGCTCGCTGCAGGAGGATGTATCTGTATACCCTCGCAGCAGGAGATCAGCAATGACCCCGCAGGCGCTCTACTGGCCTATGAAGCGAACTTCATGGATATAACACCATCTGTTGCTGGTGTACTGCAGCCTTTTGACCTTGGTGGCATACAGACCGTCGTCTTCGCTGGTGAGCCTCTCCCAGGCCACATCGCTTCGCAATGGGCAACATACGCCCGCGTACTCAACATGTATGGCCCTGCGGAATGTACAGTCAAAGCGACAATGGCAGTAGTCGAGCGCCACTCTGCAGCATCTTCAGCCAGTTGTATTGGTCGAGGCCTTGGCCTCTGTACTTGGGTGGTCGATAGTCAAGATCATCAGAGGCTGATCACAATTGGAGCTGTCGGCGAGCTACTACTGGAAGGCCCACTCGTTGGAGCTGGCTATTTCAGGGACACCGAAAGGACCAAAGCATCATTCATTGACTCGCCAGAATGGCTCATCTGCGGCAATGGCACCAACCACAAAGGACGTCAAGGACGCCTATACAAGACCGGTGACCTTGTCTCCTACAGCTCTGATGGATCACTCAACTTCATCGGCAGGAAGGATGCCCAGACTAAGATCAATGGCCAACGCTTAGAGCTCGGCGACGTGGAACACAACCTGATAGCCTGCATCGACGCTGGCCCTTCAGGAAAGGTTGCGGCAGAGGTATTGACGCCAAGAGACAGTGACAAGCTGATGCTTGTTGCTTTCGTACAGAGCAGCCAGCATGTTGATGTCAGAGCGAAGATGATAGGTTTACAAGACCGGCTTGCTGCCAGACTTCCTGCTTATATGATCCCTTCAGCTTATATCAAGATCGAAGAACTACCACTCTCCTCCTCTGGCAAGATGGATCGCAAGCAGCTGCGCGCAATCGGAGCAAGTATGACTCGGCACGAGCTCACAACATCCTTCTCCACCCAGGCAGAGCGCCGGGCACCGTCGACTGACCACGAACTCTGCTTACAAAAGCTATGGAGTGAAGTTCTCAATGTCGGAATCGAATCAATCTCCGCCGATGACAGCTTCTTGCAGCACGGCGGTGATTCCATTCAAGCTATGAAGCTCACTATGAGAGCTCGACACGAAGGATTCGATCTATCCGTCGCCGACATACTTGGGAATGTCAAATTGTCGCAGATGGCATTGCAAATGCAAAGAAGAGCCGAGCAGTCGAGAGTAGTCGAGCTTGACTATCAACCCTTCTCTCTATTGCCGCCGGCAAGTCAGCAACCAATAGAACAACAGCTGATCGAGTACGGTCTGTCACTAGACAATGTGCTTGACATTCTCCCTGTCACCGATCAGCAAACTCGATATCTTCTGGGCACATACACGACTGCTCGCAGTTCAGTGTTCTATCACACCATGGATCTCGATGACGAATTCGACCTTCCTAGGATACAGCATGCTTTAGTCTCTCTTCTCGAGCAATTCGATATGCTAAGGACGGTCGTCATCCCGTACAAGAACATGTTCCTGCAAATCGTCCTCAGACATGTTAACAGCGACAGCACAGTTTTCGAGACTGCAACGGATAGTCTCGATGAGTACACTTTGCATCTGAAGAATCGGGACTTGCTGTCCGATTTGCATTTCGGGGATGTTGTCACAAAGATCTTCATTGTTCGCCAGACCAGAGACCAGAGACATCGAATCGTGATTCGACTGTCACATGTTCAGTATGATGGGATAGCGCTCGAAAAGATGTGGACAGCATTCGAAGACAGCTACAATTCATCAGTGTGTGCCAACAATGCAATACCTTCATTTGCGCACCACCTATACAGTCTATCACTCCTCGACAGAGAGAAGATGTCAGAGTACTGGAGCAAGCTGCTCAAGGGCAGCAGTCGAACAGAGCTCAAGTATCAAACTACCTTTCAACTCGGATATGCTAACGGCCCGGAAGTGGTCAAGACACTGCCGACCGCCATGATCAACTCGGAGGACTTCACTTTCGCCAACGTGCTCAAAGCAGCCTGGGCATACGTCCTCGCCAGGCACTCGGCGACCAATGATGTTGTCTTCGGCAGTCTCGTCCATGGTCGCAGCCAAGCGGGCAGCCAAGACGTCTTTGGTGCATGCGTCAATATCATACCGTACCGCATCATCCTTGAGCAGAATTGGACAGCAAGAGATCTCCTCACAGCTGTAGCTGCTCAACAGCTAGCCAGCACGCCCTTCGAGAGCATGGGCAGTCAGACCATCATTCGCAATTGCACTAACTGGGCCAAGTGGTCGTTCTTCAGCTCCGTGATCATCCATCAGAACTTCGAACAGCGTAGTCCGCGAGGAAGGGCTGTGGACTTCGATAGTGTCGACTTGTCTACCGGTGATGTTGACGATGTTCAGGTATATGTCATCTCTACGCCGGGCGAAGATGGTATGGAGATCCTTCTCAGTTTCAAGGATCAGGTCGTTCCGCAGGCACTAGCGGAGAGAATGGGGTCAGATCTGAGCGAGACCATTACTGGGTTATACACAAAGATGGGTGCCAAGCTCATGGCACCCATGGCGCCGAGGGAGATCTATGGTATGTCGGCCTTGCTGCCGCTGCCAGAAGAGAAGGGCAGCAGTGTGTCGCCTACCAGTGAGCAATTGACAACTCTGGCAAATTGCTCGGCAGATTTGAGAGCTGCTCTCGGCGCGGCGTGGTGCGATGTCTTGTCTACGCAAGAAATACCCTGCGACAACTCCACAGAGTCTCTGTTCGAGCTCGGAGGTGATGCGAGCAGTGCTGGTCAGCTTGCCGCTCATATGCAGAGGCGCAGCTATCGTATCGGAATTGAAGAAGTTGTTGAGCATCCATCTTGGTTTGAATTGCTGCTTCACTTGAGCCAGCAGTAGAGAGGATTAAAGACAAACGAATAGAGAGGATATGGGCACAGGAACAAGGAAGAAATCATGAGGGTACAAGGATGACAGCTTTGAAGCAGGCAAGCTCTATGGGAGATTTTGTGTATCACGGCCATGTTCATTAGAGCATTGTATAATACATACCTACTGACCAGACCCTGGCCTAGTGGCAACATGCCTACCTTAAACCCAATGAATCTCGCTGCTCAAATACTTGAAAGAGCAAAGAAGATTATGTGCCACTTGAGCGGCCACAAACGCTGTCGAGGACTCTTCAGAGCCAACTGTACCTATGACTTACCGACTGGTTCACCTATAGTATGTGAGGAAGCCTCGTTATGACGCAGCGTGCAACGTCTTACTTATGCTCAAAGACAATGTGGCAGCATGAGGTTATTTCTCTCCAGCGCCTATACAGCGAGTCTGTTGATGGTTCTAGCTCCTTCAGCCTCAATCTGCGGTGGCGTGTTCGGTCGTCGTCGAGGCTACCAGCATATGAATCTCCATGCAGTCATGTGAACATTCGCCTGGCTACAAGCACTCCACAGGTATGAAACGCTGCTCTTATAGCACCCTGGGTGCATCATCACCCGGGCGTTCTTCTTTCACGGGTGAAGATCATGCAGCACCGATGCATGCTGGATATCCCTGCATTGTGCGCTGGATTACATCTGGCGGGGCGAAGGACGTTGGGCACGAAGGAAGAGCTGATGCAGAGCTGATGCAGAGCTGATGCAGAGCTGATGCGGCGGAGAGTCGTGCTATAGACAATGGTAGTCGGCCAGTTTAGCTCCATGTGTCCGCATCTGATTTGATGTCAGCGATGAGAGCGTTGAAATGTTCGAATGCCAAGATAGAATAACAACACAGATCAGAAAGTTGCGTATTTGTAATTGCTAATCAACCACCCGTTGAAGAGCGTCATAAGCCGCGATAATTTCTCTTTGGAAAATTCATCACAATAGTTGTGCAGGAGTTGAGGCGTATGAGGTAGCGGGGAGGACTGTACCTTTGGAGTGATGAGAGACTCAGGAGCATGTCTCGGTCTTTGAGGCATGCGATGGTGTCGCATCATGCCAGATGCGAATTTGAAGAATGATGAAGGCTGGGATAGAACGATGCTCGAGACATAATTTTGACTTGAAAGGCAGGGCGGCTAGAAAAATTCTCTGCTTGGCGCACACCCCACGTGACGCACAGACAAAATCCCTGCCAGCAGCTTTCTTCTGAGCCAGATTCTAGGACGTTCTAAATGGCCTAAAAAATCCTCAGGCACAACATCAAACTGTCACGTGATGTAGCCGATAATAGTTCAGAGGACAAATAGGCAGAAGTGAACCATTTACCTGGTCAACCGATCGACTGGGTAAAAGCACAGTTCACGCGATACAAACAAGATTTCTAGAATTGTGTATTTTTCTAGAACAGAAGCGTAATGCTCGTGGAAGATTGGGGGCAAGGCTAAATACACCTTGGCGCGAAAGTTAAGCGAAATGCGTGCCTGAGGCTTAAGCGAATTTTCCCCTCATACCGAAATAATAAATAAATCTCTTATTATATTGACCGTAGCTCCGTAGAAAACGGACACTGTTACGTGAACCGGTCTGTATAGGAACACCAAAATCTGTCTGCGAGATACGCTCTTCCTGCTCTCTTTTAATCTACTCTCTTCTTATAATGGCCCGCCTATGCTATTGCCACAAGTGCCAGACCCGCCTTATCTCTTTAAAATCCCTTATCTCTTTAAAATCGAACTCTCTGTATATATACTGCCAAGAGAGGAGCCAGATCCCGTGGTCGGCTCGTACGGAAGACCGCTGCTTGATATATAAGCGTATCCGGCCCGTTTGCGACTTTCCCCTGGATCGAAATTCGAATCAAACCCTCTCTTGTACCGTATATCACGCCCGTTTGCGAGCAGTATAACCGAGATCCAAGGTCAACGCACGACCAGAGTCAATGCACGGTCATTTTATACCAAAACTCCCGATTTTTGAACTTTAATAAATAAGGAACTAATAACCTAATTAACTTTAAAATTTCTATACTACTAGTATACTATTTTTCAAAGATAATTATAATATAAAAAATGAAAATTTATATAAAAGGCTTCTTTTATATTAAAGCTAAAAACAGAAAATTAGTAATATATTGTCACAATTCCCAGATGCCCGGCATCTGAGATGCCTCGCCAGATGCCAGATGCCTCCTAGGCGCACGTGACGCGGCCGCCTCGCTAGGGAAATATGCTTGGAATGCACTGGAGATATTTAGAAGGCTAGCCCCTTCAGGACTAGCGCACTGTGGGGTGCATATACTCCCTCGCAGCCTCCTGTATTCTAGTTTTCCCTTCCTTAGCTTTGAATCGTCTTCGTAAGGGACCTTCTACCTTGCTTTCCAAGCCCTGAATGCCGTACCCGTAACAGTATTCAAAGCTCACTCCCTTTAATCCTGTAGAGGATTTCAAATAAACCAATTCAGAACCATCAGAAATATAGGTGCCGCCAAGACGACGGAACCTCAGAAACTCGAGCAATAGACTCCAGAATAACAAAAGCGAAAAGCTTTAGAACCCTCAGAGGAATTAGGTATTTATACCTTTACAAACATACGCCAGTAGCGTATCAGAAACCCCCCCGAAAACCCGAAAAATCAAAGAACCTCGAATAAAGGCTACTCTTTAACCAAGTCCTAGAGTAATAGGCACCCACAGGCCAGTAACCTGACTACTACCCCCAAGCCCTACCCTATAACCTCGTAGGCCCTATATATATACCGGTAACGAGACTGCCAGGGAGGATATGGTAGAGGAAAAGTATAATAGGTTAATTTCCCAGGATACCACGTGACCAGGAACTATATTAACTTCTGCCAAGGCTTCCGGTAAAGCTCCTGCTAGTTCAGGTCGTCCCGTTAGCGGCCCTTCCCGAACCGAACGTCCTATTAGCATTCCTGGAGAATTTATAGACAAGTCTATAGAAATAGAACCCTCTGCTTTTATTATAAAGCTTCTAGAGACTAATAACCATATTATTACTAGAGAGTTATATAAATAGGCTAAGGAACCTAATACCTTACTTTCAGATATTAATATTATTATAAAAAGCTACCAGGAAAATATCTAAAGAGCTATTTCATATAAGAATGCCTATAATTATAATAAAGCTATTCTCAAGAATACTAAGCTCTATAATACTAAGCTTAAGAACAAAATTAAATACTATATAGCTATAGTAGATTGGCTTATAATAGCTCTAACTACTTTTACTCTATCCGCTCTAATTATTCCGAATCCCTCTTAAAAGAATTCCGAATTATTTCCTGCTTATTCCTATTTAGAATTTCTTATATCTTATACTTCTTTTAGAAATACTAGAGTTACTAAGCTCCCAGATCTAATTCTCTTTACTAAAGATTATACTATTTTTAATAACTAGCTAGTTCAGATTAAAAATAAGCTATAAGGAAATACTAACTTATATTTCTTAAAAGATCTTAAGATTATTTATATTTCTAGTAAACTTACTAGTAATACTCTTGCCCTAACTAACCCTTATATAAATAAAAATAGTCCAAATTAGTACTATTAGCTCTTAGAGTTCTATTCTTATCTAAAGAAGCTATATTCTAATTCTAATAAGATATAGAATACTTATTATAACTTTAGTAAGCTTTAAATATATTCTAGTTAAGTATTTTAGGAGTTCTATATTCTCTTCTTATAACTATTTATAAAAAGCAGTATTAGTTTTTAAGATATTAAATATAAACTAAATAAGAAGCTTTTACTAAAGCTCTAGAAATTAGTATATATATATTATAATAATTTATCTATTAATACTACTTGCTTTACTTAATACTATATTACTAATAATTAATAAATTAAGGCTATATATAAGAAGACTAAGAAATATAAGAAAGTAGGAGCTATTCTAGCCAAATTCACTTCTAGTACTATATTCCTATATATTTCTAAGAAATATACTCCTAAGAAAGAGCTTAAGGAGCCTATATTAACTACTCTTATTAAGTATATATTCCCTTATAAGTATAAGTAATATCCTATAAAAACCAAGAATCTCTTAATTATTAAATACTATAACTATAATAAGTTTGGCTATTATACTAGATATTATCTACTTCTATATAATAAGGAAACCAAGATAGCTTTCTCTAGAATTAAGCCAGGCTTAGTTCCTATTTTACCGGAATATACTATTTAAATAAAGTATTTAGAGAATTTGAGCTCTAATTCTAGTATAGAACTAAGAAATAAGTATTCCTAAAGAAAGTCTTTACTTTAGGGACTTATAATATGAATTTAGTAAAGATTAACTTAACTTATCTAATAAAAGGAAATACTCTTATAATGCCCTATATTATTAGTATAAATAGATTAGAAATCAAGTTTTTTTCCCTTATTAATACTAGAACTAATAGTTATACTTTTATTAATATAAAGCTTATTTAGCTTATAAAATAATTATTAGAAATAGAACTATAATTCCTTTTCTTATCCTATACTATATATGGTTTTAACGGAAAGCTAGCTAAGTTTACTAAGAAATATATAGAAGTCTTATTTCTAATTAATAAATAAAGTATTAATATATCTATAATTATCCTAAATCTTAGAGATTATAATATTATTCTTAGTAAGAAATAAGTAATATATATTAATATTCTAGTTAATTATAAAAAACATAGGCTTATATAGCCAAAAAATAAGCCTAAATCTATATAATTCGGTTATATTATTAGTATTTTATAATAATAGCTAGAGAAGTAATCTAATAAGAAATATTAAAAAGATACTAATTAATAAGATTCTATTATAAGCTATTCCTGGAAACCTTCTATTCTAAAATAGTCTTTCTTTTTCCGGACTAATTAGAGGAAATTATATAAGACTATAGAAAAGAAGTTTCTATAGCCTAATTAAGATATAATATTCAAGTAAAAGCTAAAGAAGCAAGAAGAGATTCTTAATAAAAAGTAAATATTAGATCTAGCTATTCTTATTTCTATAGTATTTAATTATATAGCCAAGAGAAAAGATAATATTATTAGTCAAATCTCTATTTACAAGATTAATAAGGAATTTAAAGCTCGGAAAAAAGAAGCTATTCCTGGCCTAGAGAATTAATAACCGGAAGAAATAGAGCTTTAGTAGTTATAGAGAATATTGCCTCCGGAACTTAAGGAATA